AATACAAAATGATAAGTAAAAATATAGAATAGAGAGAGGTGTATCGTGGTACGATATAATGTGAATAAAAAGTTTCCACATCACTCATTGTATTCAGAACTACCGGTGTAGATTTAAAGTGAGAAAAAATTGTTTCGGTGTACATAAAAGAGGCTTATTTACTTTTGAGGGAAAGGCTACTCAAAAGATTTAGCTCACCGTTGGAAATTTCTATGTAAATATTTAAATGCTGTAATAGGATCAATCCTATGACTTTTGTATTCTTTCACTCCTTATATCTGAAGATTTTTAGTTAACTGGTGTACATAAGAATTTGTTTTGAATGAAATTCTAAAAAATTTTGAAAGAATAACTTTTCACCTTCAACAAAATAATACAAATTATCATTATAGGGTTGTGGGGATTGTTAAGTTTTTGATTGAGATCATGAACCGATTGATGTTAGACCACCACTGAAAACCTGAAAGCACTGGACGGCCGTTTCGTCTTATTGTGGGATTCCTCGGCAGTGCGTATCCACGATTCCGCTTGTGGGATTCGAACCCAGGGACTTCAGTCTTTTGTTATATACTGCTCGAATCATACATAAGCATTCACTAACAGATCAAAGTACCAATAACATAATGCAATTACATGAGCCCCTAATTATTTGAAAGACTCTTATTACTTTTAATCATAAGAGAAGCTTTAAAAAATTACTAAAAAGTACTTTGGAGCATTTAATGATGCATGAAACAGGACTTAGTTAGCATTTTAATCAATTCGTTAGTGATAATTTATGTATTATCCCGAATCTATTGCATTTGTTAACTAAATTATACAACATAGTAACGAAATACAGATTCATATACTGAATTTCAGAACACAGTTTATATGTGGAAGATGTTCAAAACAGAAGTGTAAAGAGCACGTTTTAAACCTGTGACTTAATGATTAAAAGTTCAGTTTATCGTGCCATTTTTCAAATGGAAGCTTTCTCCATTACTGTGACGAAGTTATGGGGCTGAAATTGAATATGAGACCGAAAGATATGTATACTTAGATGCATCACAATTTAAACTGGGTATATAATACTCATACCCATTACTCATTTATGACTTAAAAATCTTTAAACTTTTTTTCTCTACACTAACATAAATTAATAAAGTGTATCGAGGTGTGGAAATGATTCATTCTGTTTCATACAATCGAATTCTAGTGGAAAACACCAAAAATGGTGTCACGTTTTTTGAATGCATCTTTTTTACATGTTCTGACTTTAGCTACTACCTTGAATAGATAATTCAGAACAATTGTGATAACTAAATCAAGTTAGTGCTTGCTCCGTAATGCAGTCTGATGATGCTTCATCTTATAATTATGCAAATTAATAGTAAATTACTCAAAATGACCTATACATATTATTATCAATAAAATCATAATTAAACGAACAGTCAAGTCAAACACTTTAAGTGAAACAAACAAAATGAGAAAAAACGACATAGAATATCATTAAATTGTAAGAAGAAAATCCACTTGTTAAGTTTTATACCATAGAAAAAAGAATAAAAGACTGTACTATTCCAAAATTACTTACGTTATATTTCAATTTTTTGTAAAATTACTGGGCTCTTACCTAAAATGTGAAAACCATAAAATCAATACTTTATTTACAAATCCTACATAAATTGTTTCCAAATTAATCGTTTCTTCATTTCCATAACAATCACTCTATGTTCCCGTTCTCTTTCATTTGACTTTACCAACTTGCTACTGATAGGCATTCCACTTTTGATTGGTGTTATATACTACTTATATCGACGTAAGTAGCATACATTACAACAATAGACATGATAACTTGAATAGTATTATAATTGAAGTAATATGAAGTACTATATATGCATCTCCTGCTTACGTTGCTCCACTGTCATGTGAATCAGACCTTCAGGTCGAAGGTTCCGGGTGTGGCCCCCTAAGAAAACCACCTGCTTCAACTTGGGCACCCGGGCAGTATCACAGCTCTCACACAAATCAAATGAAATTTATGTGGCGCATATGTATTTGGTGCCTCCTTGTACCAATATCTATGTGTTCGAATAATAATAATAATAAAGTACTACATAAATCTAATAAAAAACTATGATAAGATAAATATTCATTAAAATATTAAACATTGATTTCAATTCAATCATGTACAATTCAAGCGATATACAGCCAACTAAAATGATGAAATATCAATTATCTTTGACTGTTTTTTTATATTCATTTACTTATTTAAACATTTACAATATCTACATTATGTGTGCCTTTAAAATGAGGAGAAGTTAAAGAAGAACTAACAATTATTTCCTACCATTAAACGAATGCATATTTATTCCTTTAAAGAGGAAATGGATATTAGATATTATAAAATATATTTACAATAGTACCGTGGTGAACAAGAACACGTGTGTGGGACAATCGAATGTATTTAACACGAAATTAAAGAGCATCCAAAAAAATCTGAGGACCATATTGTAAATAGCTAATTTACAAAACTCCACTGTTCTTTTTGTAAATAACAATCGGTTGTCTCAGATTTCCTTGTTCCTGAACTTTCATACCAACTGTGTTCCGTTTCTATTCTTTCCTTATTGATCTTCTACTGGAATACATTCTACACCTGACCACCGTTACATACTACTTATGTGAATATAAGTAACCTACACCATAGTACTACTAGTACTACTAGTATTGTATGAAATTTATTATATCAATATTCAAGATGTTAATATCAACATTTGAATCATATTCTATTTTATCTGAAAAAAGAAAAGAAATTTTTATCAGTATTTTCTTTTTTTGGTAGTAATTTGATTTTATGTTTAACATAGTTGCCAAATACTTTAGTAATAATGGTAGGAACTATTTTGAATTAATATTGAATTTATTTTTAGTCAATTAATTATGATTATTTAGGATGTATGTATATTAGATGGTTAGAGGTAGTTGTAAAAATACTCTGGATCTACATATTTGTGCTTATTAGTACTCATCAGGAAAGTGTACTTGCAATCTTTGTGGTAATAATACTCTATGTAAGATTTAGATCTACTTTAGATAGTTTCATAGACTGAGAATTTGCTAATGAGCTACTCAGGCTATATCACAACTTTATCGATAGAATTTTATTATTGTTAAAGTGGGAGACAAACATAACCTTTGGTCATTACTGATTGATCGATCAATTGTATACTGTTTAGAAAATATGATATGCTTTATAAGCATTCTCTTGATTAGACAAACTACAGTAACAACATGCTTAATATCTGCAGGTGATAAAAAACAACGAAGTATTTATGTAATCACTTGGATTCATCAATACCATCCTGGTGGAAATGACAATCCTTTAGAGATTCAAACTCTAATAATTCAGTGCCATAGATAGAGATGTTACCACAGAGTTATGTGAGTTGTTTATAGTTTTGATTTTGTAGTGATCTTATTTTAATTCTAGTCTTACAGTTATAATATTATTCACACTTGTTTTGCATCTCTCAGATTCTAATTTACAAAGAAATTTACAAAAATGATTTTAATTTGCACTGTGTATAGCATGTATTATCGTCACGGGTGTAAATATCAGTGTGATTTTGATGACAGACATAACAGTGTACGAATTGAATCATAATAAGTGCAGTTACCATATACGAAAATGTTTTGATTAGATGTTTACCATAAGTATACTTTTGATATGTTTTTCGAATTACTGTTATCATCATTTATTCGAAATGTCGGGATAATATTTTATACACAAAAACAACTTAATGTATAAAATTAGTGGTTGATACTGATTAAAGTCTAGATGATTATAACCTTCGCAACAGATTTAACTCTGAATAACCAAATCCATGAACTAACAAGTATGTTACAAGAACCAATAGCTAATTATTGTGTATTGCCCACTCCCCCTTCATACACCAATAACAATAATCGTACGAAATCATCTAGAGTATTTGTGCATTACCAATAAGAAAATTTATACGTTTCTAAAATAACAGTCAAAGTGCCAAAAGAGCCAGCTAAGTATTTTGTGGTATTTTTACCCTTTAAACTCAAAAATTTATGTAACTCTATTCTCAAAATGTAAGACTATAACTCTCAACAAATAATGAATATCTATAGACAAGTATTTTTCTAGTAATTACTGGTTAGTTATAGTGTAGTGAACGAGAACACAGGCAGGGATAACCAAATGTATTTGAATATGAAGTTACAGTCTCTTAGTAACCATACAGTAAATACTTCATTTACAAAATTTCCATCAGACTTTATTGTTCCTTCATTTTTATACCAAACACTCTCTGTTCTCGTTCTCTTCTCTTTGATCTCCTCAATCTTCTACCTCCGGGCATTCCACTTTCGATTGGTGATATACAATACTTATATTTGTCGACGTCAGTAGTACACACCGCAATTTGAACTGTCATATATCTGTTGTCTGCTTTTATTGACTTAGGAGTCATTCATTGTATACTGACATAAAAGTTGCTTCAACGTAACAAACTTCATTTCTTATTGTTTTGATAAACAAACATGATGGTCGATATACTAAATATCGACGAAACTAGTTGTAACATTTCATAAATTTTGTAAACAAAGTTTTCAGATGACAATGTTTTAAGCGAGTTTCAAGTTAATGATAGTATTGCTTACTCAACAGTTATAATAGTGATTTAAAAATATTACGATGGAAAAACAAAATGTAGTTAGCTCAGAAGTAAATGGATTTTATCCGGTAACTCAAATGGTATACATAACATATACAATACAGACTATATATTACATATCAAAACTCGACTAAAACCTATACAAATCACTATTCTCGTAAAGAGATGCTAAGTATTTCTTTTTCACCATTTAGGTATGCGTTACCCGTTTACTTTTAGTGTGTAAAGAAACATTTCCCTATAAAATAAATCAATATCTAAATTAAAGTTGGTAATTTGGTATAATGAATTATTACTGTACAATAAATGTAAATGGTGAGTCAGTTTTATTTTAAGTAATGAGATAAATCTCTTTTTTTTCTTAGGATGAATTTCTTTCAACTAAACAATTGATGAACTTAATATTTGTATCATACTACTTATTATCACTATTCTCATTGTTAGTGTATGGGCATATGTGTTTGGGTGTTTATTTAGATGTATGTTACTAGCTGTAAAGTTACTTTTATAAACAAAAGGTATAGTAGTTCATTCGAGTTTCTTCTTTACATTATAGATTGGTAATTTATATTCAAATTAGATTATTCTTTCCTTAACATGTTTGATATTTATAGAAAATCAGTAGTAAATTAAATTCTGCACAGTTTTCTATGTTTATAATACGACTAAGATTCACCATATAAGATTCGCCAATATAAAATTTAAAATCATTTCCAGAAAAAATCTTAAATGTTAATATTGAATTATTAGTATTATATCCAGATTGTATAAAAAATCAGTTGGTTAATGTTGATTAAAGTATTTATTTTTAGTTCTAGGTTTTATATGTAACGATGAATAAATGCCAAAAATAGATAGTTCTGTAAGTCTTCAGCATTGATGCTGACCTCATTAATTTTACTGGACACATCCTAGCTAAAGGCGGTCGGTTACGCTTCCACACCATATCATCATTGAGTACGCTATGCTGCGCTACTCTCACAACGACTAACCAGTTTAGACTAAATAGTTCTCGACAAACTGAATACCTTACAAGCATATCTCCTTTATTCCTAAATACTGGTTTAACCGGTTTTGGGACCTTTCAATTATAAATTTGTTACGTAAAAGAGTGATATTAAGCCCTAAATATCCGCTACATCTTCATATGAACTTGATTTTAAGTTCTTTTATCAAATTTAGATAGGGATCAACAATGGAATCCGTGAATATCGTCCAGTCCCGTTTAAGACTAATCACTTGAGTATATCCGTACATCAGTGCTGATGTTCGAACTGAGACTAATGAAATAAATGCTTACAAATAAAATACATATCCGTTGAACTAACAATAGGTGTTTGGACTCATTGGTTCAGTGGACGACCTTTTGGCAATTGAAACGAAAGGTGATAAGTTTATGTTTTACTGTGAACACTTACAGTCAAATCCAGGTATGTTTGACTGATAAATCATGAATAGGACGACAATTACTTCCTAGATTTTACTATTATCCACTGACCAACTTTGGTGAAAACTTGCGACTAGACAGTAATTTAAAGACAATCTATTCAAGACCTACAAATACAAACAGAAACTATTTAATTACAGTCCTTAACATCAACATTCGTAAAATCTAAACTTTTACACATATGTTTCTGGGTAAGATAACAAGAAGTTGGTGAGAGCATGTTTCCCACAAAACACACTGCTAAACTTCACTCTAGAATAGTACAAGGATTGTAATTCAACATAAACAAGTAATGTTGTTGTTCATATAAAATATCTGTTTAATGCTTTATTAAAATCATCGTAAATTTTGTAATTGTTTTTAAAATGAACATTCCAATCAACTGTTCATAGTTTACTTCCACTAATATATTAACAGAAATATAAAATAAGTTAATTGGTGATTCAACTTTTAGTTGAAACTTACTGAATTGATCTTTAGTATTATGATGCTTCAAAGTTCATTTACAAGAAAAAATTTAAGTCAGTAAGTAACTTTCAATGTTGAGTTCTTATACTAATTATACTCTCAAGAAATAGTCTATGATAGTTCTAAATTCACATAATATTGTTTACTTGAATCTTCTCATTGATGTTTAGGAATGCAAATGATTTGTCTCTTATTGAAATATGTACATCCTGTGCATATTGCCTCGATATTGACTTAATTCACGAGCATTATAAGCAAATGGGACGAAATGTACGTCCTGGATTCAACTGCTAACCACCATCTATCTTTGCTTAGAATGCATGTGAATTAAGACAATATCGAAGCAATACACACGGTATGCATATATGGCAATAAGAGACTGATCAATTGCAGTCCTAAATAACAATGGAAAGATTCACGTAAAACAATAGCAAGTGAAAATAAATTTCACCCCACTTCATAAACAAGTGACTATCAGGACTCAGTAGCTAATTAGATAACGTGATGGAGTTTGAAACGAACAGTACTAGGTTTAAGGTTCAGAGTGAACATCAACTCTGAGACTGATGTACATCTAGCTGACGAGTCCCAAATAGGACAAAATACACGTCCTGGATTCCACTGCTAACCAGCACCTATCTTTGCTTAAGATGGGTCTGTTTGTTCACAACAATTCACAAGTTCTAACATTTTAACAATGATTCTACAAATTCATTCAATGGATAAATGATTATTTTCTATTTATTTAGTCTTGATTGGGTATTTTTGCTATACAAGAGTTGTTTTCATCATGAAAAAAAAAACATTATCTAGAGAAATGCAATACATTGGGAAAAATAAATTGCTAAATAATAATAATTGTACTTTTGAATTCAGTTTTATAAGCGATTATTTATTTAAAGAATAAAACGAAACGGCCGTTCAGTGCTTCTAGGTTTTCCATGGTAGTCTAGCTTCAACTGACTCATGATCTTAACCATTGAAAAGAATATGAGTCAATATTTTCCAACCTATCAGTATTCATGTTCAATTTCATGTTGTTCGTTTTGAAATCTTCGACTATGACACAACGAAATAATTTTGTTTATTAAAATGATCCGATCAATGTAGGAGGTAGAAAGCCAGTTTCATCTATAGCGAAACATATAATTGAGACGGGGCACAAAATTGACATTAATACACCATTTAGAACGTTGTATAGAAATTGTCAAGGACGAATTCTTAAGTTTATTGAAGCCTTGGCTATTCGTAAATTTAAACACCCCTTATGTGTACAAAAACAATTTGTCGTAACCATGACTTTACCTTGGTAATCCTTAAGTCATACTATGGCCTAGGATAATGCGACAATTTCTTATTCTTTCTCTCCCCTTTGTTATTTTAATTGAACTTTTATTTATTTGACCTTTAGCATTTTCATATAAAAATGCCCTGACAAGTGTATATGTGTGACCAGATTGTTCGAAATGTATAGTGCTAATACATCACATTTTTCAGATCAACTCCGTCTTCTCATTGTTCTATCGAAAATGAATTAAATAATTAATTTCATGTATTATGTAATTAAATTTATCTTTATAAAGAGATAGTTTAAGTAATTTGGTGAAATGTTACTAAAAATTGCAATTTATCCATGATATCTACAATTATTACATAACTTGATGGTTGTGGATAATCTGCGAATTGGAAAATAATCTTTCTAAACAATAAATGTTGCTTGAATTTATTTACATTCATTGATCGTTGAAATATTATAAAAGTTATATTTAGAATAAACGAAATCAAGTCGGTTTTAGATCATTCAATCATCTTATTGTAAAAAGTAAAAAAGAATAAACATGAAGATCGAAATGTTCATTTAGGAATTCATGACAGTTCAAGAAGTTGAACATCATTCATTTGCATTTATTTATGTAATTACTTGTAAACTTATGTGCACCGTACCAGATTCAATATATTAACAAAAGAATACATACCCAGTAAGTGTTTGTATTAAGACTTTATTATATTGAGTTTGATTATAAGTTCATGTTACTTAGAAACAAAAGACAAGTATCGAGCGAATTTACTGAATTTATATTTGTATTGTTGGGGATGATAGATGACCAGAAATTATTTAGAAAATTTCTCATTTTTGTAATTTAATTGTGAAAATTTGAATTTCTCATTTTCTCATCAAAAGCGTCCATTCTTACCTTAGATTTGTGTTTCTCATCTGAAAGGATTTTAAATGTTATTGGATTATTTTTCCTCTTCATGAGCTATTTTGTGACGTCATACATGAACATTTTTGTATTGTATATATTACGCATTAGTTGAGTGCTTGTTCTTCTTGGCGGATTATGGTATTATATATTTCTCGTGCTGAATTTGGTCTTCTTCCTCTAGTTAGATGATTTGTGGTGTAGAGGTACAGCTTAGCTTTGTGATATTATTGCGTTACTGGTTTACGTTGCATTTGCCGGTTATAAGGTGATATCTTAATCTTTTGTTCATAGCAATTATTGCTTCATATATATGCAATCGATTTTATGACATCCTATTTCCGTTCATTATTTATGTCATTTTTTGATTACTTCACTATTGCATAAATGTTCTAACGATGTTATTCCATAAGCTGAATAAGTTTACTGTTTTTTTTATTTAAGCTAAAAACAAAGAAGGAAAAACAACAGAATCAACGATGCACTGAGTCGAACGCTTGTAATTTACTGTTTATTATCAGTGAAATATAATCATTGCATACAACCATAAATATCAGTATGTATATTGACAAGCATAAATCTCCTCTTTATTGATAAACGTAATATACATGATTAATGAATGTGTTGAACTTCTTTCCTGAAATTGTTTTTTCTAACCTTTAGTTGATTTTTGTTTTATGTAATACATGGCAAGAAAAATTTTCAATCTCCTATAAGAGAATACTTAGTATTATGTTTTATTTGGAAGGGAAAAAATATGACCAATATTGTTTTTCACTCTTCAGAGAACTATCATGCATAATAACAATCAAGTCTTTTATTGATTTAAAGACTACATCCATGTGGAGATTTGTAGATTTCAATTAAACAACCAGGGGACAGTGGAATAAATTGAAAATGTGTTTGGTCCTACTGTGGTGCGTGCTACTTATATTGATATAAGTAGTATATGACGCGAGTCAGGAATGTAATGTCTGGGAGCAGAAGATGGGGAAGATCAAGAAATGAAGAGCAGGAATAGAAAGCAATTAGTATAGAAATACAAGAACAACGAAGTTCGAGACAATTATTGAACATTTTGCAAATTAAGTATTATAGTATGGTTTTTCTATTTTACCAAGTAACTCTGTAATGTCGTGTTAAATATAATTCGGTTGTCCTCACCTGTGTTCTCCTTCACTACACTACTAGTAATAATTATCTATAACAGCCTGGTATTCAGTTGTTGTCTAGTTGAAATATAATCGGAATGTAAATTTCTCAGTTTACTAGGTCATTAGAATTTTGTGATTAGTTTCGTGTATCATACTTGTAGATTTTCGTTGTCAAACGTATAAATATTTAGTGTGAATAGAAATAGAAACTATGCTGATCAGTGCTATTATTGCAACTCAGGTGTTTGTTGAAGTCCAATATGGATATTTGAAGCATCCTCTTGACAATCATTACGAGTGGTAACAATTTGGAGAATCGCCAGCCTATCAGGTTTGCGTTTATTTCCCACAGAAAATACGACCAATTTAATTTTCTGGATTGTTTAGAGTCTGTTATAAAATTATTCAAGGACCAACATATAATCACATTACTAAACTACAATTTGTGAATATGAACTAACAAAAAATTCCACTGAAAAGTTTTATTCTTCTCTGCCAAAATTATCTACGGAGCAAAAATGTAAGACTATTATGACTTAACACATTATTCCAACTGTCAGTCTCATTAATAGTCGTTGGTGATTTCATTTAATAATTATAAAAGTTCTTTTTGTAAAGAGTTGAACAACTACGACTAACTATATTTAGTGGTTCAACAGATAATGTAATTTAGGTTTATTTTTGAAAACATAATAGAAACTATAAAAAGGAAAACGAATGAAATTGAAAATTCATATCTGTCCTAAAAATTGTTCAGTTACATTCAGATTTTGATTATGTTTAAAATATATACGAAATGTATTCGGATTATGTTACTTAAAGCATAATTTTAAAAAAACTATAAGTTTCGGTATAAGCAGAGAAGAATGATGGCTAGAAGTGGAATCCAGGACGTGCGTTTCGTCCTGTTTTGGACTCGTACTTGTACCTGAATCTCAGAATTGCTGTTTATTCCCGGACTCCAGCTCAATACCGTTCGTTTCAAACACCATCGCGTTATCTACTTAGCTACTGAGTCCTGATAGCTACTTGTTTGTGCAGTGGGGGTGAAGTTTTAATTTATTTTCGTATTGGTTGTTTGAATCTTCCGATTGATGTTTATGACTAGAGATAGTCATTTACTTTTGTCATATTTAGATCCTGTTCGGATTGCCTCTATAAACACCAACATTAAAATAAAATCAATGTAGAAATATCACCTCAACTACATTCATTTGGTTTTGTTGCTAGTTTCTTTCTGTAGATCTTTACTAGTTCTCTAGTGAAGAAGAGAACGTGTACGAACAGTCGAATGTATTCGACACGAAATTAAAGAGTATCCCAAAAAATCTGAGAACCATATTTAAATAGTTAATTTGCAAAATGTCAATCCATCGTCTCAAACTTCATTGTTCCTTTTGCGAATATCAGTCCATTATCTCAGATTTCATTGTTCATGCATTTTCATACTCATTACGTTCCGTTTCCGTTCTTTCCTTATTGATCTTCTACTAAGATACATTCTATGTCTGATTACCGTCATATACTACTTATGTGAATATAAGTAACCCACACCACAGTTTGCTAATTCTTTTCATATCCAATTTTATTAATTATCGAATTAAATAAAATTCAATTGATTCTCATTTCATATTTGATCTATTAGCTTACAATATTAATTAATTTGTAATTGACATAATGTAAGTACAGTTGACTGATATCAGATAGAATGATTTCAAACTACTATTTTTATGAATATAGTAAAGGATACGCCTTTATTTATCTTTCATATTCCACCCATGTAAGTTTATGTAATTTTTTTTATCCTGTTGTTTTGCTATAACTTATTTATAGAAGGTGACATATACATATTACATTATGACAAGAATTTAATTGTCAAATATCAATTCAATTTGACCTATAATCAATTTATTTTATGAACACTGTTGTATTTGTTTCTGTGCTCAAATTATTACACGTTTAATTATTAGTGAGTTACTACGACTCAGTAGATAAAATGTCGTAGTTTGATAATATATATTGTAATTTTTATTTATTGATTTGTGATACATTACAGCCCTGTAATCTATATAATTCATAATGTGAATTTTAAGTTCGAAACACAATGGTTATTTAGGCAATATATTATTCTCATTATTTGAATGATGCTTAGGGGAGCGAGAAATTCTATGTAGGTCATCAGCGTAAATAAATCAAACCATTTAATTGAATTGTGAATAAAACAATCAATATCATTTAACAGAGAAATTCTTATGTAAAGCAAACAATAAATAGTATTTTAATGAAGTTAGCCAAAGATTAAAAAAGCCAGACCATGATTAGTATTTATATGGTTGGATGAATAGAAAACATGTTGAAATGTCCTTCATTATTATGATTCGACAGTATCAAAACAACTCAAAGGAGTACGATAATTTAGAAAAGTATTTAAATAGCAATTTGAAGTTGTTTTGAGAACTTCACAACTGCCGAAAACTTTGATTAGTTACGTGGTAACTTCAATCCAAACTTTAGAAACTGTGTGACACGGTCAAAACATTACACTATCGACTTCTAATTTCGATTATCAGATTGTCTTCATCTCACATTTGTGTTATTTCTGGTTATTGTAGGCTACTTTCATTAATAAATGTAAGTGCTTACTGAGCCATGAACTCATTTTTTCTCTTCCAGGTAATCTCATATACTGCTTCTCACACTCCCCCAACACTCAAGGTACTTTCAGGCTAGACTCAAATCTACCAAAAACTGAAAGTTACAATTGATCTTCCTATAGATTCATCAATATTTTCATTTGCATTCGCCCCACACCTTGAATCATATTTCCAATTTTGATTGAAATTTAAAACTTTATAGGTTTGAAAATTAAATTATTTTAGTTTTGATGAGTGATTCAGAAAACCAAATGCGATCAAAAGGTTCAATACATTCTACTTATTAATTTTGTGAAAATATCCTCAGTATATGATTGTTACAGCCATCAACGAGGTAGGTACAGGTGTGCATTGTACGAATGTATCATCTCATAGTGGTTTGGCATCGAGGTAATTCCTTAGGCTTCGTGTACCAATCACCCTGATAACCGTTATTCAATAAATCCCAACGGTGTACGAATTCAGAAGGCAACACGAAGCGCTGATTGTAGTTTATTATTGGTCATTGGATAGAGCAGATCACAAAGCTCCAACACATCAGGCGAGTTCGAGCAGAAAAGCTAATACGAGCAAGCAACCGAATATAGAGGTGTATTCAGAGTTGAATCAGTTAGTATAATTCAAGCATATATATATATATATATTCCTTGGACATTTAAACTACATTTTACCACCAAATAGAGTAGGTCTTATCCCTAGAGAAGAGAGTCAAATCTTGGTAACTCTCATGAACTTGTCATTTGACCGACGTCTGACTGGCTCACTGTATTAAAACCTTCAATCATTCGAAAATAATCACATTAGCTCATGTGATATAATGCATTTTATTCATTTCCGGAATGTATTCAATATTTTTTCTCACTCATAACAAACATCAGTCATAGATTAATAAGAAGTACTAAACAAAAGTACATAATTAAAATATCTATGGTAATTTATATCATATGTTCAAAATATTCTAGACATGAATTTATCTTGAAGCTATAACTTATGGAATTAAAAAAGCACAAAATATATGTAGTTTAAGATATCCACCTGTTATTACATTATGTTTCACTACTTAATCAGTAAACCTCGGGCATCATTTGCGAATTCAGCAGTCTTCTAATGAATATCAGGATCAAAATTTGATACCACCAAAAATGACTATCTAATTTTTACCATATTTAGTTTTACACGCTTAGACGTCTCTGTAGAATTTATTGAAATTCGTATTAAAGTTATTCACCAGTGAGAACATTTAGACCCACGAAGAACCAAGCTTCACTACTGAATATCTTCCATCATCAATTAACAGACTGTGCTCGTATTTTATCTTAATGATAGGAAAATATCATTTTGAAAAACTGTATTTTTGATGTTTCATGACTTAATGTAAATGAATTGCCAGTTATTTATTTACTCTGAAGAAGTAGCTCACATTAAGTCACGAAAAATCAGAAATACAATTTTTCTACTGCTCAATTTATTTGAGACTGTCAAGTCCAACTTTGGCATTGATACCTACGAATAACATTTGTATTTTAGGTCACCGGTTATTATTCTTTTTAGAAAAATTATATGGAGAATATTTATATAACGTAAAATCTTAAACCTAGGCTTTGATTTCATGACAAGATTTTGTATCTTTGACAGTATTTCAATTTATATAAGGACATATAAATGAAATAAACACTGGTA